GGACTCTAATATAGGTAGTCCTCCATCCATACATTAAGGAAATCTTAATTAAAAACAAAACAAGAAACTGCATCTGTTGAGTGTGGTGGTGCATGCCTGTAATTTTAGCCACTTGGGAAAGCTGAGGCAGAAGGATCACATGTTCAAGGCCACAATGGGCTGATTAGTGAGACCTTGCCTCAAAATAAAAAATATAAAGTGCTGGGGCACACCTGTACCCTATCATCTGGAAGGTTCAAGCAAAAGGATCACTGTGAGTTTGAAGCCAGCCTGCGATATTTAATGAGATCCTGTTTCAAAATACCAAAATAAAATAAATAAAAATTAAATTAAGAACAAAAACAAACAAAAAACCCAGGGGTCAGGGATGCATGCTCCTTGAGTTTAATCTGTAGAACGATAAAAACAAAACACAAATCCTGCAACTGTCTGTACAGGACGCAGGTTCTTTTCTTGATATGGTTCTTTAAACCATATAGTATGACAATGATTTATGCATGTTAACACATAGGCACATGGTGGATGGACACAGGTTGCCTTGAGTACCCATGGATCCTGGGGTTTCCAGTTTGTGAGTGAGCACCTTGGCATCAGCTCCCACTCCACACCGAGGGATGAACGTACAGGAAGAGGCGTGTGATCTGCATAACCGATGACCATGCCACGACTTGGCAAGAACAACTGCTGCCATGGAGCTTCTCCAACTGCCATCAAAAGCCTATGGGGTGTTACCTGTGGTCGAGGCTGTCTGGTTAAATTAGCTTCTGGAGAAATGAGCTATTTTTGGGGACAGGGATTTAGCTCAGTGCCGTAAGTGCCTGCCTGGCAAGCACAAGGTTGTGAGTTCAATCCTCAGTACCAAAAAAAAAAAGCTATTTTCATTGTAACTTTCCTACTCAAACGGAAAATTTAATCTGATTTCCCTTAGACTATTAACAAGGAAAAAAATCCTGACTTGCACTAAAGATAGGGGATTATTAAATTCTTCCCTATGCCCTACCTCCTACTGTAAACATACTGAGGAACAGACCAAGGTCAGCCGGAAAAGGATGGAACTGTAATTAATGTGCCATTCTGCACGGTCTGTTGCATTGTTTCCTAACTCTCAATTGCATGGCACCAAAAAAAAAAAAAAAAAAAAAAAAAAGAAAAAAAAAGAAATAAAAACGCAAGCCTAGCTCAAAAAAGAAACAAGGCACACCGTTTCTCCAGGCGGAAGGGAAGAATGCACCCTTGTACACTTCTACCCTGGAGTTGCTTACTGAGATTATCTAAACTGGGCAGAAGCACAATGTTACAGAATGATGCATATAACTGAGATGACCGAGTGAAAGACTACAGGCATCTCCAAGACTATTCCAAAACCCAGTGATCACAGAGTTTTATTCTGAACTAAAATGCTACCTGAGCTTTGTTGTGGGCTCAGATAAGGCTGTTTACAACTCACTATTTGCAAGAATGTCTCCTTGAAACAAAACTTATCTGAAAGTAAAAGACTATCTTGATGTGGGAAGGATTTGGAGAAACACATCCACTTTTCTCATGAGGAAAATTTGTGGAATGCTGCAGTTCAATTGCAGGTCAGACTCCAGGAGGTCAACAAGGAGGCCCATATTTAGTCTCAAAGCCAACACTTCGCACACACAGTGATTATCACATGAGGTGAGCCAGGAGACTCACTCTGGGGTCTGAGACCCATGGTAGGGACAGTGGCAGAGGGGAAGGTGGGCCTGGGTGCTGGCCCCTGAGACACAGGCAGGTCCTAAACATGCTTCACGGCCCAGCCAGGCTCTGCCCAGATATAAGTGACCACAAAGCAACAGTGCAGCCACTAGGAACCAATTCTGTGAGTCCTGAAGGGCATTTTAGGGGCTGTTTCTGGTACCATTTCTCTCTGCTTGGATGATCTCTAGAAGTCTCTCAATATGCCAAACAATAAAACCTACCCTATGAGGAACTAAGAACGTTAAGGACACAGAGCTCAAAGACAGAGAAGGAGACAGCCCCAGATAAAGTGCATGCAGCATTGAGGCCCTTTTCCATGCTGCTCTCTGAAAATCACCAGCTCTGCTTTACCCAGAATATCTGGCTCAGGTACAGAGAAAAAGCAACCACAATGGAGATGTGTGACATCTCTCTCCATGCAGATGGCAGAGACTCCTCTCTGCTTGCCCTAGCCAGCAGGCGTTTACGAACACACAGGCGACCAGCACAGGAAGCAAGTCAAAAGACCAGACTTGGAAGCTGAATGGGCTGCAAAAGGCACGACTACTGTTGGCACTGTGTGCCCACAAATGCAGATATGAGTATGTGGGGATGGGATCCCCAGCCTACACATCCCTTCTGGCAGCCAAACCTGCTCTCTGTACCATCCATGGTGTTGCATGAGATAAGGTGTGGCAGAGCTGGCTGGCGAAATGAGCAAGGACCCAGTGTGTGTAACTTCTCTGGAGTTTCCCGTCAACTGGGGAGGCATAAAAGAAGACCAGTAATCTCAGAGTGGCTGTCCAGTGTGAGTTCTACCATAGCCTGTGCTGTGTTTCTCAGACAAGACATAAAGGTTTATTTTTGCTTTTACTCTCTTTCTCTTTGGCCCATACTTACTCTGCAGAATGCTTTCTCCCACACTCACTTTTCAAATAAACATTTTCAAATAAACATTGGCATCGTTATTCAGCTTGTCTCCTCCAGTTCTTGGTGGAGGCAAGGACCTGGGATACTATTGATTGATGAGCCATTTCTAAAGGAACTAACTCGCCCCAGTGACACCGCTTGTTTCAGGAAATGCACACCAGTGGAGAAGCAACACTTGTACTGCTGCTAGACAGTGACAGGCACAGCAATATTTCTGTCCTCTTGCTTCATAAGTACAGGTATGTGTCCATTCTGGTGAACAGGAAAAGGTCTGTTGCAAGGTGACTTCAGAATGATCTCAGCAGTGATGATAAGCGTTCCCATCTCAGAGGCCATCCGGATCTTCAGATCACTCCATGGCCCCTTTCCTAAGCTCTCTGCAGTCTGAAACCTATCCTGCATTCTCTGGGCTCCTTCTCTGGAAGTCTGTCCGTGCATGCTGCTAAGCACTGTGTATCCATATGGACTATGGCAGGCCACTCTGTGCATAGGTGTAAACTCCACCAGCCCAGAGTAAGCCTGTCCCTAGCACATGCCCCTCAAACAGCAGTCAATCTGCCTGCCATGACAGGTGGGGGTCTGCCTACCCAGCTGGAGTCTGAGGGCCACTCAAAAACTTCCTATACTGGACCCATGGGCACACCAGCACGGTGTTTGGTCAGTGAGAACAATGCCTGACATTTCCCTGGCAAATGTGTCTGTGCAGTACCCACACTGTTCAGGTGCTTTTATTTTTATTGGGAACCACTAACATATCCTCACTCCTGAACTGTTTTTTAAAGAAATACTGCTTTCTGACCAAGATGAACCCTCAGAGGAAGCTCAATAGAGCACAACAATACTTTTAGCTGAGTGTTGATTTCAGAGATGCCCAGGTTAGCAGCCTTAGGAGTTCTTTCATTGGCTGCATTGGCCTTGGACACCACCTTTCTGGCTCCAAATTGCATTTTTATTTCAGTTCCTTCTCAGCCTCAGGGCTAGTCACTAAACACAGACCAGTGCTGTGCTGGGAGAATTAGCGGGAGTATTATTTTGCAACTAAACCTTATGTGAGGCCTATTGTTTCAGTGATAAAGTGATGGGAATTTCGATAGACAAGTATAGAAGACATCTTACCCAAGTGAAAACAATACACTCTTTCAAATTCAAATCTATACACCCTTCATTGCCCATTATTTCCTTCAGAATTTCTCTTTACATGTGTGTTTTACTGCATTAAACAGCATTTGAAGATCCTGGCCAGAGCCAGACATGGTGGTATCTGTCACAGCTCCATGAGTTTGGGTCTGTCTCTCTCACACACACACACACACACACACACACACACACACACACACACACGGAGGGAACAAGAAAGGAGAGGAAGGAAGAAGGAGGAAAAAAGAAAGTAAGCAAGCCAAAAAAAAAAAAAAAAGAAAAGAAAAGAAAGAAATAGGGCTGGGGATTTAGCTCAGCAGCATAAGCGCCTGCCTTGCAAGCAGGCAGTCATGAGTTCGATCCCTGGTACCGATAAAAACGAAAAAGACAAAAAAAAAAAAAAACGACAAAGTAAGCAAGCAAAAAGATTAGCCAGGATGAAGCAAAATTGAAACTGTTTTCCTTTTTTTTGTTACATTTTAAAAGGTTTTCTCTCTTTCATTATCTTCACATTTTCAAACTGTATGGAGAATGGCAAGAAATTATTCTAGCTTACTGATTCTATCACATATCTGATGCAAACAGATGTGGAGCTGTTAATAAGGGCCTTGCCGGCTCTGGCCATTCTCTCCCAGCTAGGGACTCTGCTCTTTGACATATAACAAAGGTCTGGTTTTTGGGGCTACACAGGAACCTCCCTGTTCAGTTCCACATTTTTTTTCCATTACAGAAACTCTGTGAATGCAGTTATAACACTTTCCCGCCATCGTGAACTACAGTATGACTATCCCATAGGGTGGGTGGATCGCTGCTGATATAAACAGATCTAACCACTTTTATTGGTCTTTTTACTAATAAAATTAATAAACCTATCCAGTAAAGAGACCATGGGAGGCTCAGGGCACCCAGCAGCGAGACATGAAGAACAACGGGCCTGTCACAAAGATGTTAACATATAACATAACACTTTGCCAGGTCCACCTCCCACAGGATACTCCTCAGCTGCCTCTGTTGTTGCAGGCAGCATGAGGCTGAGGGCAGAAGGCATGGAGAGATGGCACTGCGAAGTTAGCTGGGGTGAGACACAGTTCCAGGGCAGATCCCTACCACCTGCCCTGGGTGATTCTACTGGACAGTATCTGGACCTGTGGGTCCCTTGGCAGTGGTAGGCTCTGCACAGATAAAGGACACGAGAGTGACACAGACCAAAGACTCCTTTTGGACAATACCCTTTGTCCTGCTAGGTGCTGGGGATCAATCTGGGCTCTGCAATATTTTATATTGGTGTTGGTCCATCAAAGAGGCAAATGGATACATCCCAAGTCAGGCCTCCGAAGCACAGAGGAACTGGAGTCTTTAGGGAGATTCTTCCTGCTCCTAAGACACAGAAGGGACATGAGATTCAGGTTGTTGCATTCAGGGTTTACAAGGGAAACAATTTAATATAGGACACATAATTTATAGGATTATTTTTATAATATTCACCCAAAGAGTGAAATGCAAGAGTGTGGGAGATCTCTTCACACATTCAGAAGCCCAAAGAATCGAGCTGAGGGCCTGGATCCCACAGCAATGTCCTACACAAGTCCAGCTGAAGACCTAGAGCCCACAATAATGACTTATATAAGTATGTATCAAGGATCTGCACTGGAGAGGTCTAAAGGTCAGTGAGGAAGCTAGAAAATCTGTATCAGCAGGAGGAAGGATCTGTGCCTCCTGGGTGAGGGGACTGTACTGCACTGCATTCAGGAAGCCATACTCAAGGTAAGGACCACAGTTCCCCAAAGAAGAACTGCAGCCATCCTCAGTGACACTGAGGACCCAAGTTCCTCTGATGATGAGAACAGCTGAGTTCATATCAGGAAAATCAGTATGACAAGCTTCTCCTGGAGAATCAACAGCTCCTTCTTTCCCTCCAGTTCTTTTATGCTGCTGGCAGCAACCCTCAAGTGGGCCTTCCACATCCAGCACCATGCTGACTCAGTTCAGCTGGGTGCTACAAGCTGACCATTAGTTCATCTACCACACAAGTCTAGGTCTGAAAGCTGAGGACAGGGTCTCCTCAGGGTGCGTAGCTGCAGGAAAGGCAGGAGACCTGCAAGCTCCTGGCCAACACCTTGATGGGGGTACCTTGCTGTTCTTCCTCTTGCCTCTTCACTCCTGAATGTAAGTCAGTTGCGGCCTGTCATCCAAGTAGTCCTTCACTGCCTGAGAGTCTGTGGGGGAAGGACTCTGCTCACACTGCTGCAGGGCATTCCTTCAATGCCAGTCAAAAGGTGCAATCCCCTGCACACTCCAGGGCAATGTGCCCCACCAGCTTTTGTCTTTTCTCAGGGCATCAGGAAAAACCTACAGTGCAATGCAATGCTGGGCTGAGTACTTCCTGTCAGAAAATGAGCTGTTAGGTGTTCCTCCTGCTTTCTCTGTACAAGACACCTGGCAGGACACCTAACCTAAAAGGACAGGGCTCCAAGGCTTACCAGGTTCCCCTGCCCATCCCTGCAGGAGCCCTGAGGACCTCTTCTGCGCAGAGCCTGCCCTCTTCTTTGCCACAAAGTAACCATTGGCAGCATCTCACACACACCTAAGCCATACTCAGCTCTCCAGAGCAGCCTGCAAAGAGAGCCAGAGAAAAGAACAGGGAGGGGCACAGGGCTCACTCAGGTAGAGGACTTGGCTTGCCTCAGCAGCACGGAATTACTTTAAGAATGTAAAGGGGACTTCCACCTTCCGACTGCAGTGCTTGGGAACTTCTTGCCCTAAACGTTTTGCAAGCAGAACTGTCACCAGGCACCAGGGCTCAGTATGCACCCCAGTGTCTATGGACCTATCCAGTACTTTAATCCAAATCTTGAAACTGCATCAGTGAAGTGTAAGACAAACCAATCTCTTTCATAGCAGTTTATAAATGAGAAAGCAAGAACAGAATCAAAACTACCTTGGCCAAAGCAAAAGTACTAGGCTGGGAAGGAAGGGAGGGAGGAAGGAAGGAAGGAAGGAAGGAAGGAAGGAAGGAAGGAAAGAAAGAAAACATTCACAGAAGTTAGACTATTAGCAAAGTCAAACAGCAAGCACTTCAGCAGGCTCAAATAAATGAGGAAGAACAATGGACTGAATCTAAATAAAGTCACCACTCAACCTCCAACAATATGTCAGATATACCTACAGTCACTGATGCTACCCCTAGGCAAAAGCAGTGGCCTTATTCTAAATTATCAGACAAATGCCACATGCATATTCCAAAGACAGCTCAGCTTATCATTTTGAATAAAACTGCTCTGAAATAAAGGAAGCAATTCTATGTTACAAAGATATATGAAAGAACCCTATCAAACCAATCAGTGTGAGTGAAGATGTTGGCAAAGTAGAGCAAAATGGGAAGCAGCTCAACAGGGCAGACAGAGCTAGAGCTTTCCACAGCTGTCTTGACAAAATGTCTGACTGTCACAGGGGACTATGGATACTTCCAGAACGGAGGGGAGTAGGGAGAAGAGTTTACGAGCCCTGTGCTCTAACCCCTGAATTACAGAGCCCTAGTTGGTGCTGTCCATTACCCAAGCACAAATACAATCAGAAAAACAGTATGGCAAAGGCACACAAGGCAATGTCAGTGTTTTCTCATCCAGAAATCAATGAGTACATTCTTGTGCAGGTATAGATCGCTTCAAAGGAAACTGCTTGTATAAACAGACTTTCAAAGGTCAACTTACTTTCCTTTTTGTTTGCTGTTTTCAACTAAATTTAGGCAGTTCATTTGCATCCAGCACTCTGAGGTCCAAGACAGGGCTCCCACACAGCCCTGCAAACTAACTAAGGAGGCTACAATTCCTGAGGTGCTTTCCCTTCATTTGCAAAGACAAAGAGGCAGAGAAAGAAGGCTGGAAGCTTTTGTTGGGCTCACTCACCATTCACTGGCCCTAAGAACATCTGGTGCTAAAAGTCAGGCCCTGCCTGGCCAGAATCCCCAGGACCAAGTGTGGCTGCCCAACACTCTTCCCTTTCCGCCCTGGGCATTCTTCTCCACCCAGAGATGCTTGTTCCTCCTCCTCTGTGGCTCCAGCATTTAACACATCTTTCAGAGCAGAGGAGTGCTGAATCCCACAGATGCAATCACTGTCACAAGGTACTCAGGCAGCAGAGCAATTCACTTTCTGCTTTTCAAGCAGATGTGGCTTCCTAAATATACTGCAAAAATGGAAAGCTTCCAATCATTTGATATTTAAAATAAAGCACTATAAATCCTCATGAGTAAGCTCTAAATCTGTTAATAACAAAGCACTTTCTCTTTTTATAAATCATACGTTGGCAAATGGAGAAACTCGGGCTCCTAAAATAAATGACTTATGAAAGTCACTGAGAGGAGATTCAGGACACTGGACCCACACCCAGACTCTTAAGAGCCACTTAAAAGCACCACTTTCAGTGGGCTAAGTCCCTGATTTCAAAATAAACTGCCCTGCCAATGAAATGAACCCATCTCTGCCCCACAGAGGGAGGAAAGACCTTTGCTTTTCCCAGTCCAATTTGTTACTCACTCCCCTTAGGAGAAGTTTCACTTTCTAACAATGTTAGGGAACATTTTTCTCTTTCAATACAAAATGTGAAAATCTTAATAATTACTATAGGCAGACACCCTGAATTAAAGGTGAGGACCTATTCCTTCCAAGCACCTTTCTCTCACTAGACCTCAACCTGCATCAGTCGGGTAAGGCTCACAAGTGCAGGACACACGGGCCCCAAAACAGAGGGTGCCCAAAGGGTCTGCTCTGTATCTGACAGTTGCCACAAAGCGATGAGCTCCAATAACAAACAAGAATGTGACACACACCATTCATCATTACATTGGACCCACATTGAAGAATTCAACCTTATTAAACTAGTGTAATGGATCCTACTGAACATGTCTCATCAGTTATTAAATCAGTCACTTGGTGTTATCCTTCAATATTTTTCTTTTTTCTTTTTAGTGCTGGGGATGAAATCCAGGGTTATGTGAATACAGAACACACATCCTACCACTGAGTTACACCAGTAGCTCCCTGAACACTAAAGCTAATCCCTTCCCTACCCTAACCCTCTTTCCTACAGTGATAGATGACAGAATCAACAATTCTGAACAGCAACACAAACATCACAGGCTCTTCCTGGGGGCTGGCTCTCTTCTACTGGTCTCCAAAGGGACCTCTTCACAGGACAGGGGAAGGGGACTGACACAAAGCACCTCCCTTCTCATATCACTTCCATAAAACACCATTGGTTTTGTTTCTTACACCACAGTCCCCAGAGAGAACATCTCTTTTCAAAAGCTTCTGACTGGACCTGCCTCTCATTTACACTTCGAGGCAACTGGGGTTCAGAAAGCCCCAATTTCACAGCCCCTTCCTAATTTGCTAGATGAGCTCATACAAATCATTAGAAAATGAAACTGCAAAAAAAAAAAAAAAAAAAAACCAAAAAACACAGTAATACTTCTTTTCTGAAATTCTCCAGTGGGTGCTTTCTTTATAACACATGTACTAAACTTGAAATTGTCAAGTGGAAAGTTTGCTAGACACCTGATATTTGCCTTTTTGTGTGTGTGTGTAATAATCAGAAGGTTGGGGCTGGGGATTTAGCTCAGCGGCATAAGCGCCTGCCTGCCTTGCAAGCAGGCAGTTGTGAGTTAGATCCCCGGTACCGATAAAAAGGAAAAAGACAAAAAAAAAAAAAAAAAAAAATCAGAAGGTCTAAAAAATGTTGACTGGTACCTCGCATGTGCCAGGCTCTGGATCTGATTCCTAGAACTGAAAAACAATATGTTGAGTTTTTTTTTTTTAAAATGATCAGTATTAGGCTATTTCTATTAGGAGTGAAAGTTAAAAGAGTTTTTGTTGAGTCAATGAGTCTTAGACTCCTTCATTCAAGAGAAGCTCTTTTGAAAACCCTGCAAGGCCTCCTCCCCACTCCAGCATGACTAATGCAGGACAAAGCAGGACCCGCACACAAGCCGGGGTCTGTTTCTCCTTCATTTTCCCCCTGTAACACTGCCATTTCTTCTTTCCCATCACCTCCAAGCAACTAGAGTTCTGGCAATAAAACATCATTTTGTTCCAAGGTGACACTGTCTCCTTTTCAACAGTGACACGCACACAGGTGACAGCAGGCAGTTCCTGCTGAGCTGCATGCAGTCCGCACAGGGGCTCAAACCCATAGATACCACTCTAGGCAAGTAAGAGCAGACTAGTATTCTGGATTCTTTTTTAATTGGTACAAAACTATTTACTGTCATATTTATCCTTAAAAACAAATGGACTAAAATTTCTCTTCAAATTGGAAAACAAAGACAAACATCAAAGTATATTCTACCCTTCTTCTACTAGATAGTGGGGTGCTGCCTA